TAGATTACACATATATAATGCTCAAAAGATTACCCAGAAGGATTTAACATGTAGAAATAACAAATTAATGAGTAATAAGAGAGACATATTGAGAGAGAAAAAAAATCTTACTTTTCTTTAAAGGAATACCTATTTATCTGTGTGAAATAATGTATGAATTACTACATAAATTTACGGTGAAAGGAACATCAGAGCCTTTCACATTATGAAATTATATACTATAATCTTTCCCCAGGTTTTCTTTCAGCCTCAGCAAGTCATCCCAATAGTAAATTCTGAGCAGTTACAATCTTCTAAGAAAAAGAAATGAAACACGATTAATTGAAAGTTACAAAGCTATATGGTCCCTTAAAAACATTTTGTTTAATATCTGTTCCCTGCGAAGCACAACGTGAGGTGAAACTTTCACAATTCAGTCAGTTTTGAATTTTGTAAGCCACATTTTTTCCCCTCTAGAAAGTAGCACAACTAATCCTCTGAAGAAAACCAACATGCTTCTTTTCAGGAAGATTGCAGCAGCAACAGCGTGTAGTTGAGGGAGCAATTCACAATCAAATAACATAATGTATAACAAGAAGACTCATGAGAACCATTGATAGAGAAATTTTTCAAAAGCGATTCGAGATCTGAGTGTGAAGCAAGACTGAAGAGCTACTGTACTTATCTGAGTTGCTTCATCCAACAGAGACAATGAAGCGTATCCAAGTTAATATAGATAATACAAATGTGGTCTTCCAAAATTCACATCTTGTCTGATTTATTTAACCCCCCAAATTAGATATATTTTAAAATGTTTTTCCTTACATTTGTGCCTTTTCTAGCATTTCCTTCCCTTATTTCAAATTTTAATTATTTCAGATGCCCTCCCTGTCGCTCCTTTTTGGATATGTGGAGGTGGACCCAGTGTTGTATATTTCATTAATCAAACATCTTCATTATCACTGTGCTTTTTCTTCCAAAGATTTTTTTTTTGCTGCGACTTGTTCATTTTTAAATGGAAGATAAACTGAAATTTCAAAGGTTATTGTAAATTATTATTGCCAAGTAAAAAGAATTGCAGTACCATGGAAAAGAACTGAGTTATCTTTTGCAATATAAAGAATGGAAATGTAGCATTTTCTTCTTCTTCTAATAAAATGTAAATGTTCAGATCTGGAATTTCATGTCAGTCAACTCTGTCAAAAATCATTGCTCTCTGTTCAAAACTGTAGCTAAACTGTATTTTTAAAATATCTCTATTCAAGAGACTCACATCGTGGCACACTTTTCAATCAAGTGTGGGAAACAGCTCTCTTGAGACCCTGTATCAAAAAGCCACTTTTCTGCATGTATTGATTTGTGATTTATTTGTCTAATTTTTGCATCCCTTGCTTTCTCATGTATCTTTATGATGCGGAAGGAAACTAAGGCACTCTTATAAATAGTAATTTAATATTTATGCAGCAAAACAAAAAGCAAGGCATTATTTAAAATTTTATGTCAATAATAATTCAACAGATACATTTTTAATACACATTTTAAACATTATGACAGAGTTATACAAACCATTTCCCAGGGCATGGAAATCCACAGCTTAGGTGCTATGATGAAAAAGCTTGTCCTCTAATGCTTCCATCAATTGTGCATCTGATGCTAGTTGAATATAATCAGAATCTTTCCTGATGATTATATGAGATAAAATAAGTTATTCAAGGTTGTGCAATTCTCACCTGTAGAATTCAAATGCTTACCAGGACTTTTTTTTTTTTATTATTTAAGATATGGACTTTGGATCCAACAGCTGATCTTTTCTGCTTTGGACATGATGCTGTTGTAACTGGCAAATACCCTTTAAATTCATCATCTATTAATTCAATTATTTTGTTCATCATCCTTCGGACTTGGTAAGAAACATACATCCAGGTTGCTTTTCTGATGTACTTCTCAGCTGACAAATTATCAGGTTATCAAAGATTTATGTCCATGTAACTCTTTTCCTGCTACCCAGAGAATATCAGGAGTTTCAAGAAAATGGAAAGATGTTGAAATACCCACAAAAGAGGAATAGTTGGTGAAGTGGCAAAATTTGAAGAGATGGCAAAATTGGCTTGCTTGATAGGGAAAAGGCAACTATAACTGGAAATCCTTAATGAAATTTGGGCTGAAAAATGGGAAAAAATAAACTTGTGATTTATGGGTTTGATGATTAGAAAGGGTGGGATACTGAAGAAGGAGTCACAATGTAACTAGAGAAATAGACGATATAAAATATAAACACATTTATAACGGTTGTAAAGAAGATTGGAAGTTGCTTCTTTATAACTCCTTTTTCTTTCTTTTTTCTTTTCTTTCTTATTTATTCACATTTTACTTTTCTTTTTTTAAGTTTGTATTGCTTTTACTTTGTAAAAAAAAAAAACCTCTTCATGAGAATTAATTTTTAAAAATGATGTCAGGAGTTATTAGTAAAGCCCTAGGGATGGAATCCAAGGACACTCTAAACACATATTAGTATAGGACAAAACCCAGTGAGAGAATCAGGAAAATTAGGTACCCTAATATATTGTAGATGGATGCACTCTTGATTTTCAACTTCTTCCTAATTACTATGAGTTTTTCAAGAATAAATGTTACAATAGGTCAATATTGGAACAGCCCTTATTTGGTTACATAAATGTTCATTATCAGAGTTCTATTTGGGAAGAAGAACTATAGTATTGTGGCTCCGTACTTCCGTTTCAGCTACTAATGTAAGAATTTCTATAAATTTGACTCAAGGTTGACTCAGCCTTCCATCCTTTCTAAGGTAGGTAAATTGAGGACCCAGTTTGTGGGGGCAATAAGCTGACTTTGTATAAATATACAAAAGTATGAAGGCTATTGCTTAATGCATTGTAAGCTGCCCTGAGTCTCCGGAGAAGGGCGGCATATAAATCAAATTTAAAAAATAAATAAATAAATAAATAAATAAATAAATAAATAAATAAATAAATAAATAAATGTGTTCCTGGGCTATCAACTTTCTCAATAGATCCTCTTTTGTTGGGAGTGTCCTTATCCCCTTGCTTAAAAGAAGAGAGTGTGACTCAGGGGTAGGTTCTACTTACCTTTACTACCGGTTCACAATGGGAGCGCATGCACAGATCATAATTTATGACGTCCAGGCGGGTGGGTGGAGCCTCCCACAGCTTTTACTACCGGTTCTAAAGAACCGGACAGAACTGGGAGCAACCCACCACTGGTGTGACTAATGGTAAAATATCACAATTTTTCCTAAACCACTGTTTTTTTTTAATATGCCATTTAGTATCCAGGAAGTAGCTTCCATATATCTTTAACAATACAAAATTGGACCTTTAAAACCCCATCATTGTAGGAATCAAAATAACGCAGTTATGACAGATGATGCTCAACTTGTGCTTGGAAATTTCCAATGAATGAGTGTTCCACTGATATTTGGTTTCTCTTTTGAATTTCTCTATTAAGTTTTTCTTAATATTCAATTGAGAACAGATTATTTACTCTTGGTTAACAACATTTTGAGATGGACCCAAAACCAACTCCTTGTGTAATATGTCCCTCAATTTTTGAAATGGATAACTTTGAATATAATTCTTGAGCCATCAATCTAATAGACATGGCTTGGATCCCATACATAAATTTAACTGCTGATCAGAACATCATCTGAACACATATTAAGTAAATACCTGATTTTAAAATAAAATAATTTATCTTATAATACATATACATTCTTTGCTTTAGCATATTTCAAAAGTAATACAAATGCAGACATATAATAAACAAGTTTATTCAGCATTCAATCAGAATAAAGCTGGAAGGGACCTTTGAGGTCTTCTAGTCCTACCCCCTGCTCAAGCAGGAGACCCTATACTATTTCAGACAACTGACTGTCCAATCTCTTCTTAAAAACCTCCAGGGAGGAAGCACCTTCTGATGGCAAGCTGTTCTACTAGTTAATTGTTCTCGCTGTTATGAAGTTTCTCCTTAATTCCCGGTTGCTTTTCTCCTTGATTAGTTTCCTTCTATTGTTTCTTGTCCTTCCCTCTGGTGCTTTGAAAAAAAGTTAACCCCCTCCTCTTTGTGGCAACCTCTCAAATACTAGAATACTGCTATCATGTCCCCCCTAGTCCTTCTTTTCTCTAGACTAGCCATACCCAAATCCTGCAACTGTTCTTCATAAAATGTAATTCTTATCTTCATAAGATGTAACATATTCTAAGATGTAATTCATCTGGTTCCAAGGATTTGAACTCATTGAAGGTCATTCAAATCTCTCTTGACAGTTTGTGTATTGATCTTAAACTTCAATCCTGAGCCTTCAATGAGCTATTGGCATTGGCATTGTAAATCACATATTCTCTTTCTGAGAAGTTTGAACCAAGGTAGTAGCTGTTCTACCTTTCTTTGTTACCAGTCAGCATCCACTTTCCCATCCCACTTTGACTTGTTCCGTCTCCGTGATACATTTTCTCTTACATACTTTCCTTCTTTCTTAAGATCACTTTTTGTTCTTCCAGAAATTTAAAAATATACCAACCATAATAAGTTTTAGCTTTCACCTAATAATTCTCGCTTTGTCTTTAATCTGTTTCTAGAGTCTGAGTGCACTATATCTGCATATATAATTATACTTTTCTTGCAATAATTTTCTCCAGAATACAAAGCATTTGAAGGTGAAGCTAGAGGTGAAGTTCCCGAACTTATTATTTTTATAGAATTCCATGCTTTTATCAAGCTTTGTCTAATATGTCCTTTTAAGTTTTTATATTCTTTTTGATCCTTCTACTAGAAATATCTGGAAGGTTTATTAGCTGGTCAGCTCCTTCTCATACTGATATTCTGATATTTAGAAATTTTATCTTTTGCTATCAATGACGAACAACTTGCATTGTAATATAATATAAAATTCAGAAGACCTAGTTCACTGCTATTTTTTGAATCTCATAAAATTTATTCTACATTTTTCCACTCCAAAAAAATCTAATGACTGTTCTTTGCTCATCTTGCAAGATTTTTTTACTGGAATTGAAATTTGCATCATTTCAAATACATAAAAAAAAGAAAACCTTAGGTAGTTATTGATATTAATAATCACAATTAATCCTAAATGGTAGAAATTGCTTTTTTTTCTATCTTTGTAAATATTTTTAATTTTTTCTCCGTAATTTGAGGTAATTTTGAAATATATCTTTGTTACCACCAATCAGGAACAATCCCAAATATTTTACTGGACTTTGTCTGGCATCCCAATCCTTTCTGCACCAAGCTTTTCCTTCTAGGATAATTTTTAAAAAATATGTCAGTTTATCTATCCTGAGAATTCTTCAAAACCTCTAATTGTTTTCATCAGCTGTCTTTTTGAACTCTGCAGTTGCACAATAGTTAGCTCTACATCATCCACCTCATATTTTACTTTCTGCTTTTGTTAACCTCCTTCATCAAATTCAGCTTATTCTCTGTTTATTAGTTCCTGACATCATCTCTACAATTCCAGCCTATTTGTCTATAGTGCCCCTGGGGTGACTTGCCTTTCCTCATCCTGTATATTTGTTTTGACTTTATATTGCCATGAAAAAGCTTGTGTAACTTTGTCCCGGCTCTTCAAGTTGTCTTTTTAATATTCTAATTGTTTGTGACTGAGCTCTAAGCACCTTCTTTTTCAGACACCAGCACCTATGTTGAATTTCCTTTTCTGTTCAAGTTTTCCTGCCATGAAATGTTATATATTTCTGTCTTTCTGTTTCTTCAAAATGAAGTTACAATTTTGACACTGTTGTTATATCTCTCTCAATTTGCACTTTCTAAAATGTGCAACTATACTGTATGGGAAAGGAATAAGCACACACCATTTTAATATGGTACCAGATATTTACCATGTATCCCAGAGTTTGGCAATGTAATGTTTCAGTTTTTAGCAGCATAGGTTGAGCGTATATTTAACAGAAAACTGATACTTTGGCATCCATCACTGTGTAGTCTTATATATCTATTCAACACATACCAAACACATATATAAAACATTCTTATAAAGGTGACAATAATTTTCCATTTAACCTCAATAGTAGAAGGCAAGGTTTTTTTAGCAATAAAATTGCAACAAGCAAATAACTTTTACAATCTTTACACATTTTGCCAATATTACATAGCTTGAGTCATAGAAATGCGTTGTCATTTGAATCAGACACACACATATCATACGTACATGTATTTTTTTAAAGCCAGAAAACCCCAAAGCACAATGGATATGCTTCAATGTTGACTGAAGATAATAATCAAAAGGTCTTTATGGGAATCCATATTTTCCTTTAACAAACAGCATAGCTCCAAAAACAATTGGCACAATACAGAAACACTTAGAATCAGTCACATGTTCACATTATTATACATTTTGTTTAAATTATAATTAGTCCCACTATAAAAATAATTGGGGGACTCTTTTGTAAATAACTCACATGTAGTCAAGTTATCCAAAATATTGTTTCAATCAGTACTTACGGAGAAGCTTGTTAAAAATCACCGAACAAGCTCTATAAGAAAGAGCTTTTGACCTCGTTGGAATCCTTATTGTTTTGCAACTCTTATAAACTTTGCTGTGTTATCTCAGAACTATGCAAAATTACACTTTACAATCATATTATTACTACACAACTAACCATACCAAGCTATAGATGTGGATGTGAACTGAGTCTGCATTTAAATTGCAGTTCAGCAAATAATGAGTGTGCAAAGCTTGACAGTCAATTTAGAATTACAAAATCCACATGTCCATGAACTTCAGATTCTTCTAATCCTATAGCTCAATTTTCCTATAGTGTTGAATTGACTTTAGCATTACTTTCCAAGTCAGAATTCCTGTGCATTTACATACATACATGGAGTTCCTAAATGCTTCATATTCTCATTCACAAGTAGAATGCATTTCCTCATCTACTGTATAACACTTTACATGGAGAGCTTGACTATTCAACTGAATTGAAGAGAGAAACCTTTTCAAATGAGAAAACATGTATGTATTTATAAGATTCAAGAGATAATTAAATTATTTTATTTTCATAGAATTAGATCTGGATCCAGGTAGATAGCTATGGAAATCTGGATCCAAAAGACATGGGACTTATATTTTCACTTGCTCATTGTAATTGTTTATTTTTGACAAGATTGGTTAATTTTGGTAGCTGATTTTAGTTCAGACTCTGCTATTTAGAAACTATTCTAGTTACTTGCTTTTGTTTTATAAGATTCACATTTTTGCTGAAATAATTATGTATTAAATATACATTCTTATATAAATTATAATTCCTATTCAGGCTGAAGGGATAGAATCTTTGACACGCTGTAGTTGCCCAATGGATTTAATTACTTTTGCTGTGGGGATTAAAAAGGTGAATATTGCCACTAAATATCTAAACAAAGAGAGGTAGATGTTTTACATATTCCTCTCTCTCTTTAAAATGCTATATTATTCATGTCTGATTACACAAGTTATAACATTCAAAGAGGAATAGGACCCAAAACTATTTCATGCAAATGTTTTTAAAACTATGGATATAAAGTATGAAATCCTAGTGTTTGATATGAGTTTTATAAATCTCACTACAGCAACTTTAAATCTTTAAATAATCACATTCTGTTTCAGTATGCGCCTTATAAAAAGACCTTTCCCCTTACAAGTCACATCTAGCCACAATTAAAATAAGGATGAATTCAAATTCAGTCATTGTTCATAACTCAAGCTGACATCAGGAACTTTTTTGCTCTTCAAAAATCAATTTCAATCATTTATCATGGGCTACAGATATACTATTCATTTTCTTTGCCTTCATTCAATTAGTAGATAACTTTGCAAGGGAAACAGTGCTAACTTGAGTATGTTGCAGATCTATAATTTAACTTGAAAAAGTTCCGGAAAAATATTTAAGACGGCATAATATTACTCTGCAAGAATGTGAACCAAATACATTGATGGATCTATTCAATGACCAATTATTAAGGTCCTGTGTTCTGCCATTATAGAGCAGAAACGTGAGACCAAACGTCCTGATAACAACACTCAAAATGCTCCTTTCAATAGTTCCAATTACAGAAATGTTCCACATTGTGACTGCTTTCTTCATAATCATATATCATAGAAATGTTGCTTCTTTTGCTTCCCACACACAAAACAACAACTTTACAAATAAAGACCTATAGCTAATATACACTCTCTGGCCAAGATCATTATCTTTCAGCTACTTCATTTTAATTTAAGGCAGCTTTGTATTACCCTGCCAATATAATTTTTCTTCCATTTTTTTCTTCTTCCATTGACAGAAGAGCAACAACTTAAAGGTTTTTCTGAATGTTTTGTTACACAAGGCATAACAAATTGGGTTTACAGTACTGTTTACGTAGCACAACCAATAGCCAAGATGCCACAATGTTGGAGGAATGCAATATGAGCAGAATGTGGAAACCAATACCATTATGTTGTAGGGGGTCCAGGTAATTATAAAAGCTAGAAGAATAGCACTTAGAGTCTGGGCTGCTTTACGTTCTTTTATAAGAACCATTCTTTTTCTTTTAGTAATTTGATTACTTAGATTAGGATCCATATTTTTGATGGAAGCGTCTTTGGATAAACTGGCAGAACAAGGAGTGATTTTGACTTTTCGGCAACCATTGTTAGTTTCTGAAGCACCACCAGCTTTAACCACCAACCGGAACTTATAAGCTACACATTTATTACTTTTTTGCACCTGACTTTTGGTTGGGGTTAGAAAATATTTCTGGGTGTCATAGTCATTCTCCTCATGTTGGTCTTTGATAAAAGCTTCCTTTTTCTCTTCTTTTTGCTCATCAACCTTCCCTTTTACAGGGGTTTTATAGGCTACTTGAAAGACTGGATCAGGCGGGCATTTTTCCTCTTCTTCAGATGAGGCATAGCTGCTGCAAGTGGTCAGCTGCTCTGCCCTCGACCAATCTTGGCAAGTGTTTTGAATCTGAGATGCTTTTGCTGTGGCAGAAGTACTTCGACTGGATGAAGACCACGAAGCCTGAGATTGGTCTCTTTTGGTCAAATTTTGTTGCCTGCAGCTAAAACAAGACTTCAGCAATGTTTTCTGAGGCTTTATTGTTTCAAACTCAGTCACAGAACTGGAGCCCTGAAGCTCAGCTAGATCCTTGGTTCGTTTTTCAGTCTCTTTGTAAATGCGGCAATATAAAATAGTCATCACTGAAACCGGGATATAGAAAGCAGCAATTGCGGTACCAAAGGTAACAATAGGCTCGTACAAAAATTGGATTTGACATTCTCCAGGTGGAACAGTTCGCTCCCCTACAAGGTACTGCCAGCATAAGATTACAGGTGCCCACAGAATGAAAGAAATCAGCCAAGCCAAACCAATCATAATCCCAGCTCTTTTGGGTGTGCGTTTAGCTCTATAGGTTAAAGGACGTGTAATAGAAAAATATCGGTCAAAACTGATAACTAACAAATTCATTACTGAAGCATTACTAGCTACATAATCGAGTGCTAACCATAAATCACATGCCAAAATTCCAAGAGACCAGTGCCCTATTAATATGTATGATGTATAAAGATTCATAGAAAATATTCCAATTATAAGGTCTGCACAGGCGAGACTGAGCAAATAATAATTGTTCACTGTTTTGAGCTGGCTGTTGACTTTGAATGATATTATTACCAGAACATTTCCCACAATGGTTATCAAACTTAAGATGGCCGTTACAGTAGCGATGGTGATTACTTCCCAAAGATTATGGCCTTCAAGTGGTTTTTGGCTAGAAGTTGAACCATTGGTGATGGTCAAGTTGCTGTGTAACTTGTCTTCCATTCTTTTTTGTGGTGGATTAGCATCAGCGTCTTTTAATTTGCTCTAGGTACTTCATCTGTAATTTGAAGATATCCTTTAAATGACAAACAGAGAAAAAAATCATAAAATGAAGGGCACCTGCCAAATGAATTTAGCATTAGAAAACAATCTGTTGTTCGATTTCAATTGTGGGTTTCATCAAATTTCAAAGGTATTTTAAAAGAAGGATACATGAATCTTTTGAAGCAATGCAACTCAACTGCCCTTCCCAATCTGCTGTTCAATCTATCACATCTTGCTTAACTTACCCCCTTTGAATGGCTGCTTTCCACCTACTCTTCAGCAGCAATCCAGGTGGAAGTATTATTGGAGGTTTCATATTCATGCTCAAATGATGTGGGAAGGCCTTTGAAGTGGCTGAACTAAGCCTCCAACATGATACACATCCTCAGTGTCTTGAGCAATGAGTTCAGAGGAGCCTTTTGGCTGCCTCAGAAAGTGTTTCTCTGAGTGGTTTGCAGAACCTCAATGTAAGTATCTTTGCATGTATTCAGTCAACAGATGCAATTAATGCTCAGTGGTAGCTTTTATTCAATCAAGTCACATTGACTTGGAATATGTAGGTACCTTTTACAGAACATTGTATGTAACAATGTAATTCTAATTAATATAGAATAGAATAAAAATAGTTTTTCAAGCCTTTCTTGTCAAGTAAGTCATTATAAAACAATGTTGACTGGATATTAATAAAGACTATGGATTTCATTATTAATTCCTGTTTAATAAGGCTTTTTTGACTGTTACAAGAATATACATTCACTAACAGTGAGAAAAAGCCTTGCTAAACAGGAATTAATAATGAAAGCCATAGTCTTTATTAATATCCAGTCAACATGGTTTTATAATGACTTATTTGACAAGAAAGGCTTGAAAAACCATTTTATAATGCTTTCTTGCTACAAGCAATCAGGTAATTTATAAAGGAAGATTTCAAAATACAAAATTAATGTTTAAGTTCAACCATGCATGTATCTGCTTCAAACAAACAAACAAAAAGACATTGGGATATATGCAACAAACCTGGATTGAACTGAACCTGACCAAGATATCTCCTCTGCTCTCAGACTGCTGTGTTTTACAAGTTAGTCTAGAGCAGGGATGTGTGATGATCTTAAAATGTTAATTACTGTTAAATGTAAGTTGTATTTCTTCTTTCCTGATTAAAAATTGATTAAACCCCACCCTATTACACCACCTTTACAAATAAAGTATCTGTCAGAGTCTGTTAAAAGTGATACACACGGTTTGTATTGTCACCACTGGAAAAGGTAGCTTTAACCTAATCTCTTTGCATATTCACTGTCTCCCAATAAAAGTGCTTCTTTGTGGCTACCAAATAATGAAGAAACAACATGGTTTCTGATGGCATATTCATATCTAGCTTAGTGTTATGCAAACAAGTAAGCCAAGTGTATCTTATTCTTCAGTTTATTAAACAAAACTGTTTTATAACAACTTTATTGCACTATTTTACTATTTAGCCATTTTATATGCAGGCTATGAACTGCAGATCATGTTGAATTTCAGAATTTATCTAAAGAACAAACGAATAGAATAGAATAGAATAGAATAGAATAGAATAGAATAGAATAGAATAGAATAGAATAGAATAGAATCGAATTGAATTCTCTATTGGCCAAGTATGATTGGACACACAAGGAATTTGTCTTGGTGCATATGCTCTCGGTGTACATTTAGGAGTATTTATACAGTTTTGATTCCCACTTTGCAAGGTCTCCATGTTAGAGCTGCTTGACAGCACACCATTGTATGGGGTATTGGTGCTAACTTTACTGAAGAATATCAAAAGCAACTTCAGTAGCACTAGGCAACTGAATCTAATTTCCATGATAATTTGCCACAATTTGCCAACTCAAAGTTAGATTAAGCGTACTATGGAAAATTAAAATGGAAACTAAACTCAGTTCCATTGTACTGCTAACATCTTCCATCTGAATAAAAATGTTTAAAGATATAAAGGTCAGAATGTTCCAGCAGTTGGCCCGACCAGAGTACTAGAGTTTCAACTTCTGATCACAGATGATGGTTTTGGATGCCAGCTATGTACCATGTTTCCCTGAAAATAGGACCCTGTCTTATATTTTTTTAAACCCTGAAATAAGTGCTTGGCCTTATTGCCATGCGTTCAAAATCCGAATTGGGCTTATTATCAGGGGATGTCTTATTTTGGGGAAAACAGGGTATCTGTATTAACAAAGTGTAATAACAAAATAGTATGGACTAAAATAATATTTTGAGAGATGCACTGATGGACTCCCCAGGCTGGTGTTGCTCAAGCACTTTGAACTAAAACATCCATTATCCACAGCCAACAGAATGAAAGGCATGCTCCACAACCTAGAAGGCACCAGCTCATAGCAACCTGAGATATATTCAGATGTCAATCTCCAGATCTGGTATGTGATGACTCAGATAGCATTCTTTCTGCACTTCACTTCACTGCATATAAGATAGTATGGTCCTATTATACTGCAAACATATTTTTGGAACTGAAATAAGTCTTCAAGGAGCCTTTAAAAACAGGAATAGAAATTGGATCTGACAAGCTAATAAAAGAAACTAAAGATGACATTTAACAGAGAAAATACTACAAAGAGAGAATAAGGCCAAAAAGGGTGCTGGGCCAGAAGAAATTGAATTATGTTATCGTCAAAAAAGAACAACGTGAAGTGTAACAAATAATGCAACAAGAGCCAGTTTGGTATAGTGGTTAAAGCATTGTACTAGAAACAGGGAGATTGTGAGTTCTAGTCCAGCCTTAGGCACAAAGTCAGGTGAGTGTCCTTGGACCAGTCACTTTCTCTTAGGTTTAAGGAGGAGGAAATGGCAAACCCCTTCTGCAAAAATCTTGCCAAGAAAACTGCAGCAACGTGTTCAGTCTCCAAAAATCAAATATGAACAGAAAAAAAAATACAATAAACAGTTATGATACAACACAGATTAAAATATTAAGGTTGGTTCAGCTCAAAAACTCTGATAGGTTAGAGCGACGGTCCCCAATCTTTGCAGCTTGGTGGCCCAGTAGAGGGGGGAAGAGGGGAACTGGGCTATGCATGCAGCTCAACTTGCATGAGAGGTGGGCTGGCTTGTGTGGGCATGCATGCATAGCTCGATTTGTGCAAGGTGAGCTGTGCGTGCATGAGCATGTATGCCGGCCTGCTGCTTGTGCAAGTTGAGCTGCATGTACACGCTGGCCCACCACTCACGCAACCCATTTGTAAATAGGCAGGGCGCAGTAGTGGCCCTCAGCCTGGGGGTTGGAGACTCCTGGGTTAGAGAAGAGACCAGAATGGCTCTCTGAACAGTTAAGAGAAAAAAGAGTTTATATCCAACAGCCCATACTGGCCAATTGGAGCTGGCCATCTTCTTGAAGTCATCTCAATAGACTGGTTGATGAAATAAAAATGTGTTGGAACCAGAGGGAAAATATTTAACACTGACCAGACAGACATTTTCTCTTGTACCATGCATGGCTTGGGGTATCAGGTGAAGTCAACATCCTGAAATTGTGGCAGAAACAAAAGGTTGCCAGGGTATCTCAAAGGTGCTTTATAAGGACTTTGTTTTTTTTCTTTGAATACATTTCACTTCTTATCCAAGAAGCTTCTTCAGTGATGAAAAACTGATGAAAAGCAAAATATGTTAAAAAAAACAAAAACCCAAGATAATACAATTGCCTTTTCAGAAGCACCTTTGGAACAACCACGACCTGGATGATTGAAAATCTCCTTAGACGTTGTCAAGGTATGTTTTGTGTGTGATTAAATGCATGTGGGGATGTATAAAGGATCCCTAAGGATGTATAAAATCATAAGGTCAAGAAGGTAGTTTAAATTTTATCATCACAGCCTCAACCCTTTGTACCCGCATACAATATCCATGCAAACACAGGGCTTTGATTTTGCCGTAACTTTAGTTCACACTCCTCTATTAAATATTATGTGTGTTTGTATATTGACAAAACCATTCTTAGACAACCCTGGGACGCTAGTATACTTTGTATTGCCTAGAAATTGGTTTTATGGGTATTTCTCCAGAAGTTGATTAAGATACAGTTTTGCATTGTTGTTATGAAGTACAAAGTACATTGTTTGAATTATTAGATTTGTGATCTCTGGTACAAGTTACTTTTCTATCATGTTAGGTATTTAAAGGGAAATTACAGGTAGTCCTCGACAACTGAGCCCAAAATTTCTGTTGTTATGTGAGACATTTGTTAAGTGAGTTTAGCCCCATTTTACGACCTTTCTAGTGACAGTTCTTTAAGTGAATTATTGCAGTTGCTACATTAGTAACATCGTTGTTAACTGAATCTGGCTTCCCCATTGACTTTGCTTATCAGAAGGTCGCAAAAGGGGATCATGTGACCCTGGGACACTGCAACTGTCATAAATACGAACCAGTTGCCAAGCCTCTGAATTTTGATCACATGACCACGGGGATGCTAGAACATTCCTAAGTGTGAAAAATGGTCATAAGTCACTTTTTTCAGTAGCGTAACTTTGAATGGCCACTAAACCGTTGTAAATCGAGGACTACATGCATGCTTATAGTTGCACCCACTTATCACCACTGGAGTTAATAATAACATGTTTTAAGAAATCGAATAACGCCGATTTAAATATTAAAAATTTAGGCTTGGATCCGTTTATTTGTTCTCTAAGAAAAGTAGCCGAGCGATCCATTTGCAACAGCCCCGCAGCGGATTCCTCTTTCGGGTCCGTTTCTCAAGGCGAAGAGCTGCGGCTGGGAAGCGCCTGGCGCGGGTTCAGCGACCCCCATCCTTCGGGCCCGGCTGACGCGGCCTCCAGTTCCTGCAGCGGCCTGTTTTCCGGCGGAGGCGGAGATCCACGCGAACCCGGTGAAGTCCGGCCGCGTGGAGCGCGGCCGCCCGAAGGGATTCCAATGCAGCCCGACCGCGGCGGCCGGCCCCGAAGGGGAGGCGGCCGCCCCAACCGGAGACGGCCGGGCGGAAGGGAGAAGCCGGCGGAGACCAGCGGCGACGACAGTCAC